GAGTTAAGCTGTTAACTTTTGACTGATTTTATGAGTTTTCTTGCAGTTAAGTTAGTAAGACGGTTGTTACGTGAATCTGGGTTCCCCATTGATTCTGCTTGTTAAAAAGTTGCAAAAGGTGATCAGACAACCCCAGGATACTGCAACTGTCATGAATCATCTAAAGCATCTGAGTTTTGATCAGATGACCATGGGGATGCTGCAATGGTCGTTAAGTGTGAAAAACCATCATAAGTCACTTTTTTCAGTGCCGTTGTAACTTCAAACAGTCACTAAACAAACTGTACTATAAAATATTGTGCATCTGATGGAATCAATTCCTTTGATTGTTTTATATAATTTTAAAAGAAGTATTCCTACTCCCCATTTAAGCAGTCTTCACCATCCTGCAATTTACCTATGACATGTGTGTAACAACCAGTAATATTTAACAATTACAGTAACAAATTAAAACATTTTCCTCTTCAGCAACTTCTATTGCTAGTTTTTTCTATGCATCACCCTCTTTCAGACTAGAACCAATTATGCAAGTATTTGGTAGAAAGCCCAGCTGAAACATATGGCTTACTGCAATCAACCTATAAAGAATCACACCACATATAAAGAATCCAACCGCCTATTTATTACTGGTGTTAAAGAATATAATTAAATGTTAAAGAATATAAAGAATATAATATAATTCCCTGATCAATGCACCTCCGCCTTTATTTCTCCTGGGCAGACCTGTGACATTTCTAAAGAAGGGTGTGCACTTACTTATAAAGAAGTCCTGCTTCCAGAAGAAAGGCTCTCAAAGCCATTACAGCGTTTTAGCATTAATCTTACTGTACTATAAGGGAGATCAATACCGTCTACAACGCACGCATTCCCGCGATGAGGGGGAAAAAAAGGGAGGGGGAGAGAGGGCTCAAACGGAATATACACGGTCTTTTTTACACAGAGCGTCGTTTAGCCCAAAAAAAGTATTTTGCACCTCCCACAAGCGATTCACAAAGGGGAGAGAGCGCCAAAGGACTGTTGTGAGTCACTTCTCGCCTAGTAACAGCCGCGTGTTCTCGTACTATTAGCCACTCGGGAACTCCGTCCGTCACGCTCGCTCACTAGCCGCAAGGCGTGCATCTGCAAAGAGCCGGACGGGGAGATAGGAGATGTTATAGTGAGCTCGGGCCGAAGGGGCACCGGGGGACCATTCTCAGCCTCGCTTCCCGTTCGGGCCGACTAATTCTTCGGGAGCAACCACCTCCCAAGCTCCGCCCCTCTCCCCATCCTCCGTCCTTCGGCGAGTACCACCCAGCGTCTCCGCCCCCCATTTCTCCCCCTTCAGCGCCCTCCAATTCGTCACACCTCCCCTCTCCCTCTCTCTCTCCCTCCCTCCCTTCTCTCTCTCTCTCTCTCTCTTTCATGTCGGGCGTCCTGTTCCTGCCCGAAACCAGCGCTCCCCGCCTCTTCTCCGCCCCCCCCCCTCCACCCCAGCCCGGTTTGGCAGCACCCTGGCCGTTTCTTTGCTCCGGCTCTGCTGCCCTTTTTCCAACCTAGCCTACAGCGCGCGGCTCACCGACCTCCTCCTCGCTCTCGTTGCGGAAGCAGAGGCAAGCCGCCCGTTTCTTGTATCCGTCCCCGTCGTAGGTTCGAGTCTGGTTGGACTTGAGCTTCATCATCTCCGGTCGGGGAAAGGGGTGGGAAGGCCCACCAGGGAGGCAGCAGCGAGATGAGCTGAGAAAAGGGTGTCGGCTCCGCACGCGGGTAGGTTGGGGTCTCCCTGCCTGAAGGGGGCGGGGGACCCGCTATCCCAGAGAGTCTCTGCCTCCTCACACAACAGCCGAAAAGGAGGGGAAGCCCCCTCTGCACCGCTACTTGCTACAAATACTGTCGCCGTCCACCCGCCGCCTTGTTCCCTCTCTCTGCTGCTCCAGGACTAGGACCGCAGCTTCTGCCAGCGTTTCGGCCACCGCCGCCAACGACGACGACCGCGGCGCCATCTTGGGGCATACTACGTCAACGGCGCAGAGGCAGCGGGTGGAGAAAAGCGCTGCCCGGGATTTCTTCTTCGGCGCATACTACGCAAGCAGCGTAACCGAGGATTGGGAATCACTCGCCCCTTTCCGCTTCGGACACCCGTTGCAGAAAGCGTCTCCCAACGCGAGGCTTGAGCCCAGCCGCACTACTGTAAGTCAAAGAGTGTCGAGAACACGGGGAGGGGTACCGTATGTGCTCCGCTGCCGTCGCACTCTTACGCTATCGCCGTACACGAAAGCCACAGTACTGTAAACGAGACGTCTGGTGTAGCGTTTTGCTCACGGCCTCGGGCTTAATCGCGGGGCTGCGCAAATCGCGTACAGTGAGAGGAAACAATGCCCATCTTGTGAGAGCAGCGGCACGCCAAAAGCGTAGAAAGAAAGAAGTCTTGTTGCAAGCTTCGATAAAGACAAGGGAGGGGTAAGACGGCTTCAGATGGCCAGAATAAAGGGTGTCTCCCCTGGGATGGCAGGAAAAAAACTAGAATGTCGCATTTGCAGTTACTCTCAAAGAAATGGACATTTCGTATTTCGGCGAGTGACTTAATCCGTTAGTTTTCGTGGAAAATCATATTTTCCGAACATTAAAGCTGTGAAATTTTGTCGCTCACAATGTACAATGCCCCACCGTGTTCGGCTTTCGTATCTTTTACCGTAAGGATATCCTGAAGCAGGTGGATCGATCGTGATGAATGTCACTGATAGGGTGGCATGTCTGCATAAGAGGAATTAGTTCCTTTATTTAAAAAGTTGCCTCGACTGGCCCCAACTACCCCCACCCCCAGCCATATCGTCTTTCTCCTTCCTTGACATAAGCTGGCTTTTCTTTCTCAGATGAATGACAATAAGAGAAAGCAAACTTCCTTCAGAGTTGACAGGAATGGGCTCTAAATACAAGATGTCTGCCGAAAGAAAAAGAAAAAAAAAGACTGTTTCCTCAGAAGCAAAGTTAACCTCTGCCCTGTAAAGGAGTGGGGTGACAGCAGTGCAACTTGCCTCCTGACTAGCACTATGAATAACATCCATAGCTGTTTTTTTATTAACCTATAACTTGTGATAGTTTATTGTCTCAAAATTTAATGAGAGAGCCAGTATTTTGCTTAGTGAGAAAGGAGTCTTATCTGACCAAAAGACAACTAGACTTGTCTTTTGGTCAGATAAAGCTCCTTTCTCACTAAGTAAAATACTGGCTCTCTCATTAAATGTTGAGACAATAAACTATCTAGACTTTGAAATTGTTTGGCTTCTCATCCAAGAAGCTTCTTCAGTTCTGATTGGTCTGACTGGTCATTTAGACCAATCCCCTATATACAGTATAACCGTTTGTAAGCTCCCTCTTTTCATGGGATTTCCAAGGCTGCTGGAAAAACCATGTTTTAAGAGACTCATAGAAGGCCAATAGGGTTGGAGCTAATCTTACCTCAAAAATGTTCCAGAGGATAGATGCCATGGCAGGAAAGATCATATTCTGGGTCCTGTCAGATGGAACCCATAACATGCTTCTCCTGCTGGATAGGGTAGATGTAACTAGGAAGAGGTAGTCCCTCACTTAACCTGTACCATAACATGTAAGGTTTTAAAGGTGGAATCCTGCATTCTTGAATTTAACCTGGAAGCAAACTCATAACCAATGCAATTCATGGAGCAGATATATAATGTGTGCAGTCGTAGGGGCATGCATAATTGTCCATGCCACCACATTTTGCACCAGTTAAGCTTCTAGATACTCAAATGTCTGGAAGCTTAACTGGCGAGTTCCATGTAGATCATATTACAATAGTCCATTCAGGAGGTGACCAAGGCATAAATAAATGTGAGTAGAGCATCATGATCCAAGAATGGGTGCAGTTGGAGCACAACACAGAGCTGAACATAGGCCTTTCTAGCAACGACTGCCACCTGTTCACACAACAGCTTTATATAGATGTTAAACAGGAGTGGAGACAGTACCAAACCCTACAGAACTCCACATAATAGGGATCAAGAGTGAGAACTCTCACACTCAATTAACACTGACTAGTATTGGTCCCATAGAAAGGAAGAGAACGAGAACATTAATACTGCTCACTCCTCCTCCCCATGCAGCTAATCTAGAAAGATACCATGGTTGATGGTATTGAATGCCAGTGAGACATCAAGAAGAACCTGAATGGCTACACTATCCCTATCATGCTCATGCCAGAAATCATCCAAATGTCCAACCAATGTCATTTCCATCTAATGCCCAGGCTTGAATCCTGACCTAAAAGAGTCCAGTTAATCCAATTTACCTACCGAAGGTGTTGTTTGACCACCTTATTCACAACTTCCAAAAGAGAGATTGGATATTGGATGAAAACTATCCAATATGTTGGGGTTCAGCAATGGCTTCTTGAAGAGGGGGCAAACCAATGCCTCCTTAAGGGGCAGAACAATTCCCTCTCAAGGAAGAGTTCACCAGTGCTAGAATCTAACTCCATGTCATCCGCAGGCAGCCTTAGCTAGCCAGGAAGAACATGGATTTAATGAGCAGATGGTTGAATTCACATTCAGGAGGACTCTATTCAAACCATTCCCAGATAATAGGGAAAGATTCTGCCCTGTGCATCTCAACTGGACCTGTATCAAGACCGGTGAATACATTCAAGCAATTTTATCCAATAGATGCTCTGCAAATTCAGCTGCATGACCTTGTATATGAACTTCCAAGTCTTTTTCTAAAAGGGCTCGGGTCACACTAAACAGGGCTGCCAGGTGGTTATCTGCAGACATAAGAGTGAAGAAGTATTGCCATAGTTATATGTTTTTTAAAGTATATGGTGGGTATGCTGTGAAACAGTTGCATGAAGACTTGTTGGTATTTAATTTTTAAAAATTGTCAAATACAATACATTGTCAGCTGAGCTGAATTCAAGAACCAAGGTCTAGGGTTAGGGTTAGTATCTGAGTTTCAATTTCAAACATGAAATGTATTGGCTTCAAACATGTATGACATGACATGACAAATTGCTGAATTGGCATTTAATTTTAATTGCCTGCATACCTCTATTTATTTGAAAATAAATGTGAGTGAACTACAGAACAGTTTTGAGTAATTGCTTTTGTAGTAACAATAGAATCACATTAGAATTCTACAGGTTTATGCTGTTGCCATGTGCACAATGCTGACTACATGTACAAACACAGATGCTCAATGGAGGAGGTTTAATGGGAGAAGATAGAAAAAGAATCTCCAAAACTTTTTAAATGCAGTGTTGTACTTAATTATTTTTTTCCTCAAAATACACATCCACTTTCTCTTTTTTGTTCTGTATAAGAAAATATATCCAAAATACAGTCCTATCACAGAGGAATTTCCATATTATAAAGTTGTTTCCCATTATGGGCCTACATTGTACTAGACCAGGCCTGTTAAACTGGAGGCCCGCAGGCCGGATAGGTCACATGCAGACTATGCCCACCCCAGCTCCACAAAGGCAAAAAACATGATACATCACGATCCGGCCCATGACGGGATCAAATTTGACACCCGTGTACTAAACTATTACAAAATATCAGCAATGAATCACTATTAAGGGTCCTGAACTAACCATGCTGTATTTATTGTTTTTAAACAAACCCTGTCTCTGAAGAGACCTTCAAGATTAGTCCTTACATCTGTTCATGGCAGGAATCCTCATACCATCCCATATAAATGGTTGTCACACATTTGAAAATCTAAGTTATGGAGCATCCAGAACTCAGGAGGCAGGCTATTCTGCTCTTGACTAGCTTTCTCAAAGATGGAAAAATTTCAAGTTTGGATCTCCCTCTGAAAAGTCTCCACTCAACGGCTGCTGTCTCATCCAGGGACACTACAGAGGATAAATCCACAACCAGTATACAACTGTTACTGTGTCTCCATTTAGCTTTTTATCTTTAGCATAAATGTACCCAGTTCTTAAACCATTCTTCACATAATTTAGCTTCCAAGTTCCTCATCATCTTTATTGTGCTTCCGTGGACCAAATTTTATTTTCTATCAAAAAAAATCAATGCTGCCAAGAACCATGGGACAAATTAGGAAAATTATAAAGGGGGAAAAAACAAGAGATGTGTGCTTGAAATTCATGAAAAAAAATTAAAAGATTGAAAGGATTCTGCTTGCTGGGGGTGAAGAAAGTGCGAAGAATTTAGGGAGAGAATTCCAACTAAGCTAAGTATGGATTCATAAATCTGGTATTTATTTTGAATCCAATTGTTTTCATAGTTTGCCTTTTAAATATTTTTTAACAGCCCTAACATCGAAGAAATAACACTAAAATATCCCTTGTTTGGATAAGTAAAAATATACTCAGGTTATATTTCATTAATATAGGGGTAAGTAATTCGCCCCCTTTCTTTGATTACAAGTAATATGGGAAGTTATCTCTCTCAAGGTTTTAAAGTGGGATAGGAATAGGAAATTTCTGAGATTTAAAACTTCCATTTTCATTCTTGAAAATACCATAATCTATCCAAAATGCAAAAATTCAACCTCAAAAGTGTATAAATTATTTAAAATGGGGCATGGAAGGGTAAAAATTCAGTTTCTCTCTCGGTGGCCTCTGACTTCCAATTACATCTTCAATTGAGAAAAATGTGCTGCTGGAAATGAATTATTCTGGGAACTGCTAGCAATATGATCAGGATATTGCTTGTTACCCATGATTGCTAGCTGTGAATTGCATCTCTAGCTGATTTCTACCTAGATGTCCAGACAAGACTGAAGGATCATCATTTTCTAAATGGATTGTACAGATTGAGATTCTCTTTCAAAATTAACAGGATATTTCCAGTGCTGTATATTATTTAGGAGGAAACAGAGATAACCACATACGGGCAAAACTATAATAATGGAGCTTTACTTGAAGATACAGAACTGATAGCTAATTCCTTGTGACTAAGCGTATTCCATTTGAATAGGAAAAAAAAAACATTTTTTATTGGAATCACTAAATAAATGAATAAAAACATTCACTAATACTATTAAAAATAGAGCTGTTGTTTTAACATTAGAAAGATTCATTAATATACTTAAATAGCCCAATGAAATCAATGTATCATCGAAGGATAACTCCATCTGTCCAAAACTTACCTGTTAGCAATTATATTAGAAAACAGATAAATGCTGATACTGTATCTGAATACAGGTAGTATTCAGGTAGTTAATATATACAGGTAGCTCTCCTTTAGCACTGCATTTAGCCACCATTCAGTCATGTAAATGATGAAAAAGTCACTTAAGAACCAATCCTTGCATTTACTATTTTTGCAGGTCTGTAAAGCAAAAGAAAGCTGAAATAAGAACATAATAGTCATGGCTGCTTCCTCTAACAACTATGTTGAAGATCTCAATTGTAGTCATTAAATTAGGACTAGCTGTAATTGAATAATTGTCTAAAACTTGCTATCACGGTCATAGTTTTTGATTTACAACTGTTTGTTTAGTGGCTGTTCAAAGTTACAATGGCACTGAAAAAAGTGACTTACTATCAATAATCACATGACCATAGCAGCATCCCCATGGCCACATGGCCAAAATTGGGGCCCTTGGAGACAGGAATGTATTTACAATGGTTGCAGCTTCCCGGTTGTTCTACAGTTGTTAAGTGAATCACTGTTCTTAAATTAGTAACACAATTGTTAAGTGAATCTGGCTCTCCTGTTGACTTTGTCAGAAGGTTGCAAAAGGAGATCACATGACCCCAGGGCACTGCAATTGTCATACGAGTCAATTGTTAAGTATCCAGTGTAAATCACATGACCATGGGGATGCTGCAATGGCCATTAAGTATGAAAAATTACCATAAGTCATTTTTTTCAGTGCTGTTGTAACTTCGAACTGTCACTAAATGAACTGTTGTAAGTTGAGGACTACCTGTATTTCTTTACCTAGACACACAACCAGAATGGGAGGGAGGACAAAGGAGTGGGAGCAAGAGCAATTTTTGACTTCCTGCTAGCTTCCCCATCTTGTTTCCTTGTGGGAATCTGGCAGGGAGCATCAGAAATATCCCTTCCCAGCAAACAGGTTAAGTGGTTGCTGCTGGATGGGGGAAGGAACGATGGATTGCAAGACTGGCTGGAAAATTGAAAATGAAGATCATGTGACTGCAGTAGCAGCCAGTAGTACTGAAGCAGTCACAACTTCCCCAAATTTCATTCTCTTGGGAATCATAGGTCCCAGATTTGGAGGCATACTATACTGTAATTTATCCTATTTGGGGTACCTTGGTTCAAAAGTTCTTGCCCTATGATGCACTGTTTCACTCAAAGGTCATAATGAGTTTTAGTAGCATATAGATTATAAGCATTCAGCAGTTATTTTTAGGTTAAGATCAATTCCAGGAACTTATTCAGCATCCAGCTTTTTGGTGTGTATGCTCATGACATGACATTTCTCCAGAAGCCAAAGAAATCCTATAATGATCTCTCCAGTGACTCAAATTTATAAAATAACTTGTAAACTAAAAGCCGATGCAGTGCTGCTTAAAAGTAAAGGTACAGCAATGAGGAGATTCAAGTTTAAGCTTCCTCGTCAACCACTGAAATTCATTGGATGACTCTGAGTTGCACTCAGCTCAGCTTTTTTTTTGCTGTGCCATCGGTCAGCATTGATTCTTGGCAACTGCCTACGTAGCTAGTCCCTGCAGTGTGTCCCAAGGTCACCCAACTGGCTTCATGTCCAAGACAGAACTAGAAGTTTCCCAGTTTTTAGCCTAACATCTTAAGCACACCAAACTGGCTCACTCAGCTCAGCCTATCTCACATGAATAATTAATTAATGTACTGACTGATAAAATTATGAAGCTGAGATTGGATTTGCTAATTGTTTGGAATATCTGGGAATTCCTTCAGTCAGAAATAGCAACTAATAGAAACCAAATGGAGTGTATTACTATTTTTTGGTAACAACAATTGCTTTTGACTGAATGATTTTGAAGAAATTGGGGGAAAAAATACCCACAAATATTTCACAAAGGAACTTTAGGTTGGTTCCCATCTCTATTTCCCAGTAATACAGGTAGTCTTCAATTTACGACCACAATTAGACCCAAAATTTCTGTTGCTAAGTGAAGCATTTGTTAAGTGTGTTTTGCCCCATTGTACGACTTTTCTCGACACAGTTGTTAAGTCACTCACTGCAATTGGTAAGTTAATAACACAGTTGTTAAGTGAATCTAGTTTCCCTATTGATTTTGCTTGTAAGGTTGCAAAAGGTGATCACATGACCCCTGGACACTGCAACCATCATAAATAGGAGTCAATTGCCAAGCATCTGAATTTTGATCATGTGACCCTGGGGATGCTACAATGGTCGTGTGAAGAACGGTCATGTCACTTTTTTCAGTAATGTTGTAACTGAACGGTTACTAAATGAACTGTTGTAAATCGAGGACTACCTATATATAGAAAAGTAAAAATTATTAGGCCAAATAATTAACACCAAGCTCTGAAAAACTCTGCAAGACAAATTCAAATTTGCTTCAATACACACACAAACCCATTTAATATATATTTCTGATTGTGTCCCATTTAGTTTTATTGTTCATTTTGTATCAAGCCTGGAACCTTTATTTTCATTTTTCAAATAAAAATAAATAAATGCCATTTATCTTATTCTAGTGTTGACTAAAATGTATAACATGAATAAGTGCATTAATTAGCAAAGGACATCACAACTATTCTTCTGTAAAAAAAATAATGAATAATCTACATGGGATATTTCTAAAACTGTTGATGCTTTATCAATCTTCACCTGAACTCCAATAATGTATTTAATAGGCTGTATCTTTATTTAAAATTATACAAGAATGTCCCTTAAATACCAGCAAATTATTAACTCTATTATGGATCTATTTTTATATAGGATACAATTTTTAAAGTCAAAATAAGACTGGTGAAATTGAATTCAAAATTGACTGCATTTGAATGTTGTCATTTGAAATTATTGCTGGTGAGCAAGAGATTACTGAGTATTTCAGGACCTTTTTAGTATCAGCAGTATTTTGCATATAGTGGTATTTGGTTCTCCACAATAAGTCACCTGATAGCTAGCAAATAAATTTTTGGTTTTCAACCTACACATTCCACAAGCTAAGGCCAAATCACCATATGTAACACAATAATGTTGAGAGTGGGATTTTCGTTAAGATCCTATCAAGTTATTAAAAATAAATTCAAGATTAGGGTTTCCTAAATCTCCAGATCACTTCCAAGAGACTAAATCCAGCCACATGCTTCATCTGGACATAAGAAGCCATTAAGCACAACATATATATAAATTCCAATATTAACATTATTATTGAACACTAGGCAGAAATTTTTCAAGTCTACTGGTAAAACGAATAGTGAGCTATGATTCGGCTCGACAAAATCGAGATGGCACAGTGGTTAGAGCGCAGTACTGCAGCTACTTCAGCTGACTGCTAGTTCAGATCAGCAGATCAAATCTCACCGGTTCAAGGTTGATTCAGCCTTCCATCCTTCCGAGGTGGGTAAAATGAGGACCCAGATTGTTGGGGGCAATATGCTATTTAGTATACTGTCTTTGGTGTAAGCTGCCCAGAGTCCTTGGAGTGGGGGGCATAGAAATATGAATGAATAAATAAATAAATAAATAAATGACAGCTATAATGATTAATGGCTAGAACTGCATGTCAGAGATAGTTCCGCAATGTTCCATGCTAGAACCAGGAAAATGTGTAGTTATTCAATTTTGGGACTGGGATCAGGTTTAAACCCTCTCTTAAAGGTCCTATACCAGTATTAACACGCCACTCACTTGGAGGCTAACTAGCTTTATTTAGCTGGACTCTGGCACACAATAAGTTCTAGCAGCAGCAAAACAGCAAAATGCAAAGATGCAAAGTCAGGACTATGAGCTTCTGCCTCCCAGTGTTTTATTTAGGCGAGCCATGCCCTTCCGCCAGCACTGGCCTCACCCCGTTGTCAGCTATACATTGGCCTGGCCAGGGGGATGCTCCCCAGATGTTCCTTGACCCGGAACAGCTGGTCATCGCCAGGAGCTCCGAATCCTGGCAGGCTGCTTGCCTCGCGTCACCATGCCTACCAGCCACACAGCTGATCCCCGGCTCGCCCTCCATCAACCAGCTGGTCCCCAGCAGTCGTTTGCAGGCCACCACCACAGCCTCTCCTGCACCCATCACCAGTGCTCCATCACTGCAGTTTCCAGCTCTCCAACACCCCCATCACCAGTGCTCTGTCCCGCCCCGGTATGGCAAACCCCAGGCTTCAGGATTTGACACCCTCACTTAACTATAGAGCTAACTGGATACTTTAGACTAATCACACATTTTCTTAAGCCCATCTCACTTCACCCTGGTTGCTGTTCTGAGAATAAACCTAGGTGAGACCAACCTTTATGTAAGCCATCTTGGGCTCACGGGATGAAAGATTCTGCAACATACTGTAACAATAACATAAACCAATACCCCAATGATATGAGCCAAGGAAACCCACATTCAGGATCAGAATAACCTATACACAGAATTTGTTAATTTGTACACCATATATTTCAACAAAGAGAATAACAATATCAGGACATGAGACTGGTGCTATATGGCTAGGTTAGGAAGATCGAGAAATAGTGGCTCCTACAAAGTCTTCAATCAAATTGGAGATCTTTGAACCCATGAAAATTTGGAATGTACCTTTAAAACAGCCAAGATTCCCTGTAAATCCACTTTTGGGATATAACTTCCACATATGAAAACCCTTGCAGCTTACAAACGCATCACCATTTCAGCATGTTCATGAAATGATTCAAGTATACAGTGATTTTTTTTTTCACCTTTTTATTATACACAAGATGCAAATAACAGCAACAGTTTTCTACTGAGGGGGCTGGCCACGACCACGTCCAAATCCACCTCTCTGTAAATTAAAAAGAAAACATTACAAGTTTGTTCCACAATTACCTCATGAGTCAAAGAAAAAGACATAACTTAAAAATAAATAAAGTAGGAACATTAAAGTACGGTAGTGATGCCATCATTCAAGCTATAGGGCAGTGATGGCGAATCTATGGCATGCATGCTGGAAGTGGCATGCAGAGCCATCTTTCTGGGCATGCCAGCTGTCACCCGTTGCTCTTCCGGGTTCTGGTGCACACATGCAAGCCAGCCAGCTGGTCTTTGTGCATGCAGGAGTGCCGGAAACCGGAATAGTTCCCTGGCATGCATGCGTGCACCAGGAAGCTGAGCTTCCTGTTCCCAGCATACACGTGTGCGCCAGGGAGCTGCTCTTTCAGTTTCCAGCGCACGCATGCTCCCATTTCGGCACTCAGTGCCAAAAAGGTTCCCCATATAGGGCATTTGGACAAAAAGATTCTTAAGTTAATACCCCAAGTAGAAAAACTAAAGGACAGGAGCAAAAGATAAGGTCATGGTGCAACCTGGTCAATAACTGGCTAAATCAGGGGTGGGCAACTGTGGCCCTTTTACAACCTGTGGACTTCAACTCCCAGAATTCCTGAGACAGCCAAGCTGTGTAGCCCTCATATTATGCTTGGGAAAAGAAGGCAATTAAAGAGAACCAAAGCTCAAAAATAAAAAAGAAGCAATTCTTTATTAGTAAATATTTTCTCTATTTAGTTGCCATTATTTGTATGATGAATGAAGCTCCCTAGGTGTACCACATTATTACTGCTGAAACAAGCAAGACACTCATAAACAGTATTTTACACTTACTGGCAATTAATATTTGGATCTATACATTTCTACTTGTACAGATGATAATCTAAATTCTATTAAACCAAACAGTAACATTTTTCATATTATGAGATGTTTCCTCTACGAAGGTGAACACAACTACATTCTCATGATTAATGCTTGATGGGATTTTGCATTACCTAGTCATCGTGGCATGCTGTTCTTTCACTTTTATATTTAAACTGCAGCATATTTTTAGCATGCATTAAACACAGTAAAATACGTCATACTTACAAATTGAAATTCAGTAGCTGACCCGGCACCAGCTTCTGCCTTTTTGTCTGCACCAGCTGATAGCAAAAAAAAATTAAGGTAAGAATCCCATATATGAAGACTTCTATTGCATGTAGATATGCCTAAAATTTATTAGGATACTAGAAGTCCAGGTACAACTTATAGTAGTCAGTTATGCAATTTTATTGCTGAAGTCAGTGCATGTTCTTACCCTAGCAAGCATTCCTTTCCCTGTTTGTTAAGAACAACAAAGCCTGGATGAAAACTGTTTTCCACAATAACACTGTCCTTCTAAGCTCAAAGTATTTCCAAAGCACAACAGAACTGAAAGGACAATTCTTCCTTTTGCAAAAGTTCATGGCCAGTGCTACAGAACATGAGAACAATGGCAAAAGCTAGTTAACTCTTCAGTTCAGCAATAAAGTTAATACTTACGAGGAGCTGCGCTTCTTCTATAGGTATCCCTATCAGCTTCTCCTCGTGTAAGACGAGCAGGACGTTCACCCTCTAAACCTAAAAAAATAAAAATGAAACCTCTCAGTTTAGTCTGAAGGTGCAAAATTATCAGAATCAGATTAACAGAGTTGGAAGGGACCTTGTAGGTCATCTAGTCCAACTCCCTGCCCAAGCAAATGGCAGTACCAGAAATGGTGTAGGGTCTTCCTGCTTTGGTGGCGGGTTGGCTGAATTAAGATTCAGCTAGTATTTACAATGACACCAGATTCATTACTTTTGAAAATAAATAGATTTTAAAAGATTTGATAATATCAATTGTTTGGTAAAAGCCAAATTAATCAGAGTTAGATGCAAATATTTTATCTACATCTTCCATAGAAAAGATACATTTATGATTCACTGGAACCAAGTGCAAATATAATTATTCTAGGCAGTTTTTTTCTCCTCACATCAACCTTGTTGATTATTATTTTAAGTTGCCAAAACCTATTCATTTCAGCTTTCTCCTATACTGCCCATCCACTGTGATTCAGCATTCTAAAAGCCAATCCTGTCAATCTAATTGGATAAATTATCCATCATAATGCCACCTATAGTAATAAATTCAAACTGTATCTATAGTTCACTCTGAATTAAATGAGAAATACATCCAAATCTAATTAATACAATCATATGCCGGTACCTAAACATTGCAAACAGGATTAACTGAATTAGTCACCATGTCCCATCAGGACCAAAATTCTATCTTCAATAGGGAAGTGCTGTACAGGCAGACCTCGACTTACAACAGTTCATTTAGTGTCCACTGAAAGTTACAACGGCACCAAAAAGAGGTGACATGCCCATTTTTCACACTTTATCGACTATTGCAGCAATCCCATGGCCACATGACGGAGTGACTCATATTTATAATGGTTGTAGTGTCCCAGGGTCATGTGATCACCTTTTGCAACCTTCTGACAAGCAAAGTTACTGGGGAAGATTCACTTAACAACTGTATTACTAACTTAACAACTACAGTGATTCACTTAACAATGGTGGCAAGAAAGGTTGTAAAAAGAGGCAAAATTCACTTAACAAATGTCTTACTTAGCAACAGAAATGTTGGGGTCGTAAGTCGAGGACTACCTATACTTCAAATACAAAGTCCAAAAGTGCTTCAGGGTGGGAATAGGCATGCACGCCACCCAGCAATACTTCCTTAAAAAAGTGGTATCATTCCTGGGTTAACACAGTAGGAAAATACATATTCAATTAAGGTACATTCATATGAATTCTGAAACAGCTTGTGGCACACTATCAGTATCTTCTTAATTCAATAGTGTATCTTCCTGGGATAGGCTAATCATAAACCTTGGAAGATACAGCTTCCTTCCAAGAGGTGCCATAGATGCACAGGGCAAATGTCATTCCAAGACATTTTTTGGGGCTTCAAATCTGAAGTAAAGCATATCTCGTTTCTAATTGAAAAGTTAGAAACAAAATCTCCTTTTCAATTTAAATTATTTCTTTACAACAAGAGATAGAACTACTTTCATTTCACCTGGCAACCTAACCCATTTTAGAGCTACAATTCAGTTGAAAGCAAGATTACTTAAAATGGACGTTGTCTTACCTGAACGTCCCTTTTCTGGGCGCTGCGTACACTATCCATTAATGGGTTAACTTCTTCAGCCTTTGGCAATAACTGAGTGAGAGCTCAATTTCCCTTTCCTGTTGCCCTGCCACGCCCCTTAATCCCATGATCCCCAGTCTGAACGAAGTTATGGTAGACCACACCGTGATAGGTAATCAACATAACTTTAATGAAAAAGCCAACTGTAAACAACAACAACACTACTGGCAAGGCCAACGAGAAAAAAAGGGGGAGGGTATGGATAGTGTACGCAGCGCCCAGAAAAGGGACGTTCAGGTAAGACAACGTCCATTTTCCTGTGCGCTGCTCCCACTATCCATTAATGGGATATACCCAAGTTTAAACCCCATGGGCGGGAAGTCGAGTGTCTCCAGAGTCCTCCTCTGACACCACCGTCTGCAATACTCTACGGCCGAAGGACGCCTCAGCGGAGCTGTAGGCATCTATCTTGTAGTGACGGATGAAAGGCGTCACCGATGACCAGGTCGCTGCTCTGCAGATATCTGCCACCGACGCCTGCGTTGCCCAGGCTGCCGATGTGGCCGCGCTGCGTGTGGAGTGTGGGAGAATCTTTCCGGGAGGGGTTTTAGAGTTCAGTTCGTACGCCAACGCAATACAGGCCTTAATCCATCTGCTCACCGTGGATGCTGAGATCTTTAATCCCATGGAGGCCGGGTTGAAAGACACTAAGAGCGCCTCCGTGTGTCGGAAGGCCGCTGTCCTGTTAATGTAGATGCGCAGGGCGCGGCGAACATCGAGGGAATGCCATTGTTTCTCTCTGCTGTTGCGCGGGCAGGGGCAGAAGTCCGGTAGGATGAGCTCCTGGGCGCGGTGGAACCAGGAGTTCACCTTGGGGATGAAGGCCGGATCCATCCGCAGGACCACCGTCGTGTCTCTGAAGATACAGAGATCCTTTCTGATTGAAAGTGCTGCTAACTCCGAGACTCTTCTGGCTGAGGTGATGGCCAGCAGGAATGTCACCTTGAATGATAAGTGTTTGATGGCAGCTGAGCCCAGGGGCTCGAATGGGGGCCCCGTTAGGGCCCGAAGCACCAGCGAGAGGTCCCAGGTCGGGTACCTGTGCACTGTAGGGGGGCGCAAGTTCTTGGCGCCGTGAAGGAACCCTTTGATGCGCGGGTGATGAGACAGCGCTTGGTATGGCGGGCAAACGATGACTGTGGACAGAGCCGCTGTTTGGCGTCTTAGTGTCGCTGGCGCCAGCCCTTTTTCCAGACCTGACTGCAGGAATTCGAGGATGTTCTGGACCGTTGCTGATGTTGGGTCCTCATGGTGCTGTGAGCACCAGTGGCAGAACGCCCGCCACGAGGCCTCATAAATGCGAGTCGTGGAGGGCCGCCTGGCAGCTTGGATAGTATTTACTACCCCATCTGATAATTTGTCTCTTTTCAGGATGACCCTCTCAAATGCCAGACGGTCAATTGTAGCCACTGAGGCTCTGGATGACTGACCGCCCCTTGGCAGAGTTCCACCTGGTGGGGGGGGATGTGCCAGGGATGCCCCACGGATAGCGCCACGAGGTCGGCGTACCACGGTCGTCGAGGCCAATTGGGGGCCACTAGGAGAAGGTCTGCCCTCTCGGCCAGCAGTTTCCGGATGAGGCGAGGAAGAAGGGGAATCGGTGGAAAGGCGTAGAGTAGGCCCCCGGGCCACCTGCATCGTAGGGCATCGTGGTCCTCCGCCTGTGCTGATGGGTAGCGGGATATGAAGCGGGTCAGCTGAGCGTTTTCCGGGGTCGCGAAGAGGTCCACCTCCGGCATCCCGAAGCGGGCGCTGAGCTCCCGAAATAGGCGCGGGTGTAGTTGCCACTCCGCTGGGTCTATCAGTTCGCGGCTGAGCCAGTCCGCCCTGACGTTGGTTGCTCCCGAAATGTGCTCCGCCCTGATCGACAGTAGGTGAGACTCCGCCCAGGCGAATAGGGCCTCGGACTCGAACATCAGCGCCCGGGACCTCGTGCCCCCCTCCCTGTTGACGTGTGCTTTTGCCGCAATGTTGTCTGTGCGGATCAGAACGTGCTGGCCCTGGACTGCTGTCTGGAACTGACGTAGCGCCAGCCTGATTGCTCGGAGTTCCAGGAGGTTGATGCTGCTGAGTCTTTCGCTCCTGGACCATTGGCCTTGGGCTACCAAATGGTGCAGGTGGGCACCCCAGCCCCGCAGACTTGCATCTGTGGTTAGTGTGAGTCTGTCCGGGTCCAGGAAGTCGCTGCCCTTGAGGAGTGCGGGGGACTTCCACCATCCGAGGGAGAGACGGACCTGAGGTGGTATGGTTACCTTGCGCTTCTGGTTGGTCTTGCCTGCTCTCTGGAATGGCAGCAGGAACCATTGGAGGGCCCGCGAGTGTCTGCGTGCCCACGGAACAATACCGAAGCAGGATACCATCTTCCCGAGGAGTGATGCTAGATGAACCAGGGGGACTCTCCCCCCTTCTGAGACCTGCTGGATTAGGTCTCGAATGCTCCGGATTCTCTCCTGAGAGAGGAACACCTGGCCCCTGACCGTGTCTATCTCCGCCCCCAGGTGCTGGAGCCGAGCTGATGGTTGTAGCTGGCTTTTCTCGAGGTTGATGGAGAAGCCATGGTCTTGGAAAGCCCGCAGGACTCTTGCCATATCCGAGGTCGCCTGGCTGAGTGACGACGAGAGGATCAGAATGTCGTCGAGGTAGCAAAGGAGGCGCACTGGAATGGAGTGGAGTGTGGCCGCCACCACCGCTACTAACTTGGTGAATGTGCGGGGCGCCGACGAGAGTCCGAATGGCATAGCGCGGTACTGGAAGTGCTGGCCTGCAAACTCGAATCTCAGGAAGCGCCGGTGACTGGGATGGATCGGCACATGAAGGTAGGCCTCCCGCAGGTCGACAGACTGGAGCAGATCTCCTCTCCTTACGCCCGCTAGTATCGACTTGAGGGAGTGCATTTTGAATCTGCGATACTTTACCGACCGGTTTAGTCGTTTGAGATTCAGAATGGCTCTCCAGCCTCCCGAGCTTTTGGGTACCAGGAAGAGGGTCGAGTAGAAACCGGAGCCCTGCTGATTTTGGGGCACCGGTTCTATAGCTCTTATCTCCAGCAGGTGGGCGATCTCTTGCACCAGAAGGTCTCTGAGTTCCCTGGACTGTGGGACCGGGCAACGTACAAAGCGGCTGGGTGTAGGGCCGGAGAATTCGATGGAGAGCCCTGAGGAGATCGTGCGCTGAATCCACGAGTCCTCCGTTGATCGGGCCCATTGCTGGTGGAAGAGCTGAAGTCTCCCGCCGATGGGCCCCACAGCCCGGGCGTCACTTCCCCCTCCTGGCAGTCTTGAAGCCGGCCCCGCGAAAGGGTCGTTTAGCTTGCTGGGGTCGGCCACGGTCTCGGAACTGAGATCTGTCTTGGTGTCTGCCAGTGCTCTGGAAGTGGGAGCGCTGTGGTGGGGGGCCTCTTGGCCCTGCGCTGGGCCGAAAGGGCTGCTGGTAAGAGTACGGTGTGTATCTGCGGTCCTGCCGTCGGTACGCAGATGGGAGCACCTTCCTCTTATCTTTGTCTTCGACCAAAACTGGTTCCAAGGCCGCCCCAAATAAGTCTGGGGCCTTGTACGGGGCTGCGGCCAGCCTCCATTTGGCCTTAAGGTCCGCTTTCCAGGGGCGAAGCCAGAACAGCCTTCTTGCTGTAACGTTCGCTGCCAGAGATCTAGAGGCAAATTTGGCGGAATTCAGGGATGCATCCGCGGCATATTCGGTGGCGGCTAGGATCTTGTTTAGGTCCTGGTGCAGCCTAGCATCTTCCGGGGGCAGCTTTTCCTGTAATTGGCGTAGCCAGATGAGGGTGGCTCTGTTGAAAAAGGAGGTTGCCGTCGCCGTCCTGATTGCCCACGCCGCGGCCTGATGAGATTTACGGAGGGCCCACTCCGTCCTTTTGTCCTCAGCTTTCAGCCCGTCAACAGCATCCGTGGACCCCATCGATGAGGATGACAGGGAGGCGACCGGCTGGTCCACTGATGGAAGAGTTAAAAGGTCCTCCAGCTCCTGGGCCGAACAGTAGAGCTTCTTGTCCAGGCTGCTCGGGGTTGTTAGCGAGCCTGGCTGCCCCCAGGGGTTCTGGATCACGTCCGAGAAGAGCTGGGGGCAGGGAATACAGTCCTTTTCCTGCTTGGCGGACTTGAAGAGTGCGTCGTGGGGTCCCGCAGCTGAGGTACTGGGCGCGGCTGTGTCCCCAGGCACGCCCAAATTGGTTGTGAGGCGCGCCTTGTGCAGTAGAGATTTGAATAAAGCTGGGCGAAACAGGCCTGTGAAAGCCGGGGCATCTGGCGTCAGGCCCTCATCCTCTGACAACTCAAAGGTCTCTGGGCCTTCCTCCGCTTGGTCTGAATCCTCAGACGAGGATGACTGGGTATGCGCCTGTTGGTGCTGGGCCGGTCGGTGCTGGGGCGCCCCCTGTGCTTGTGGTTGGCGAGGGGGGCCCCCTGCAGCCTGTTGCCAGCCTGCAGCCAAGAAAGAGGACATAGCTGAGAGCATGGTTTGAAAGTCTAGCTGGCTGGGTGGTAAGGGCCCTTCTGGAGCGCGCAGGCCAGCTGCCGTTGGCGTGAATGTTGCCTCAGCCCCACGGTGGCGCCAGTGAGGTGGGTCCGATAGTGGTATGTCTGGCAAGGAGCGGGATGCTCCTCTGGGCCGAGGAAATTCCTGGTTGAGGTCGGTTGCGTTCGGGGTTGCCGGTGTTAGGGCCAATTCCGCCAGACTCGTGATGCCAGGGCCCGCCTCCGCGCGTGCCTGGGGCGAGGAGCTAGGAAACCCGGGCCCTTGGATGGGTGTTGCTGCTCTCTCCTTCTGTGCTTTGGCACAGAGGCGCTCTAAGGTTTTATGGCGTCTTGCAGCATCCCTATCTTGGATCTGGGGTGTCTTTTCCCCCTGGTCTTTATGATGAGAGGACCTCTTTTTGGAATGCTTCTTGGATTTGGACTCCTTGCGAGGAGGGCTTGTCTCCAGCTCTGGGTCAGATGAGAAGGGCGAGTCTGATAAGCCCATGGTTGCCATCTGTCCCTCTTAGCCTGCTTCCTGTTTGTGCTTTAAGAGGGGCCCCTGTGCCACCCGCAGAAATGGGGCTTGCAGCAGCTAACCCTTTGGGAAGGGCCTGCAGATGATGAGGGCCTCTGAGAACCAATGAGGGCGGGGCTGGCCTTATTTGAATGAGGCCAAGATGGCGGCCCGGGGATCCACCTCTAAGGCTGGAGCACGTGGCTGTGGAATACGAGGGCTGGGGAAGCTGCGGTCTCACAGCGGCGGCCCGAGGGTCCTACCGCCTGCCGCGCTCAGCCGATGCAGCCCTAAGGGCTCTGGCAGCAAGGAGGAGGAGGGGGGGCTGCTTGCCTCACCGCGCTGCTCTCCTCTGCTCCACGTGCGTTGCGCCGGGATTGGGAGGCTGCGGACTCACAGCGGCGGCCCGAAGGTCCTACCGCCTGCCGCGCTATCCCCGATGGGTTCCTGATAGCGAGGGGAAGGAGTGGGGGTGGCTAGCCTCACCGCTCTCCGCTCTCTCTCTCCCTCGCGTCCGATGGGCGGCTGCTCCTATCGCCGCTGCGTTGCCGCCGAGGCTCGCTCTCCCCCTCCTCTGTTAAGGGGGGAGGCCGGCTCTCTCTCTCTCTCCTCTGCAAGTCGAAGCCGGCGTGGATCGGGAGCCTCCGGCGATGCGATGCGTGGGCGGCCGAAGCAATCACCGCCGCCCAGCTGATGAGCCGATTCTTCGCTTCGGCTTGAAGCAGGGAACCGAAGTACAAAAATAAGCTACTCAAAAATAAAGAAATAAAATCCTAGGAAAGGGAAGGAAATGGGCTTGGAAGCCTGAGCTCAAAAACACACTTCAGTCTTTGCCAATAACTGAGTGAAGACTGGGGATCATGGGATTAAGGGGCGTGGCAGGGCAACAGGAAAGGGAAATTGAGCTCTCACTCAGTTATTGCCAAAGGCTGAAGAAGTTAACCCATTAATGGATAGTGGGAGCAGCGCACAGGAAAACAAGTGGCTATAATACAAAAACCTGGAAAAAAATTATAGGCACTGTGCTCTGTTCACAATTGTTAATAGTTCATGAGTCTTTTGAAACTGAAGCAGTACACAACTGAAATAGGATAGACAAACACTTAGCTACCTGCCCTAAAACTTTAATTGAATACTAAGTATCACTGATATAAACATATTTTACATTTTAAAAAATACTGTTCATGTATGCTGCTAGAATTAATGATCATGGACAGTTCTCTGAGAAAGTGAATTTTAGTATATTTCCCTAATGAACTAATTTCAAAAAAATTAAGAGCCACCGAATACAAGCCACCGGTTGTCAATGTATGTGAACATAATCAAAACTAGAAACAATCTTGACAAGGGAGCATTATACTAGTGCAATAAACATGTACTACTTTCTTTCTAAAGCAAAGATTAGCACTATGATCAACATCAACAAGTTTGAGACAACAGGTAGTCCTCATGTAGCAACTGCAATTGGTTCCTGCAAAAGGTTCATTAAAAAAATTGTGTGTGGGGGGGGGGTAAAATGGGGGGGACAACATTGCATGAAATTGTACAGAAATGCATAAATCCAATACACTTATAACCTCCCTGCTTTCTTATGGTATCATACTCTCTTTACTGAATGTGTAGTGAAAGCACTTAGTATTTTGTTTTAGAAATAGATCTCAAGGATCATTTAAATTTTTGTCAACTATTTTACAACTTAAACAATGCATTAAATAATATTTTAAATTAATGATTTGTTATTATATGCTTTGAACATGCATAGTTAAGTAAAATTAAAGAACCCTTCCAAAATATTTCTTTTCATGTCAATAAATACCAAATCCAGAAAAGCAATCAAAATTTCACTAATAAATCAAAACTTATCAAAGTGAAATTCTAAATTTCCAAAGCAAAACTCACCTTTGGGCCTGGGCCTGCCTGTTTCAGGACGGCTACGGCGCAAAGTGGCAGGCACAATTTCAGGTGGAAGGTGGAGATAATCCCGCAGGTACTGGATGCCCTCATTGGTCAAATACCAATAAAAATGCCTCCAGGCAAACTGTTCCTTCACATAGCCACGAGATTTCAGGGACTAGGGAGACACACCAATTATTTGTTACAGAAAAGAATGATGTTTTAAAGACATAATTAAAGCCAACAAGATTTCTGTCCTGAACTGTTCAATCATGCTTCTATACATCCTGTAAATTATAAACAGGTAATACTGTTCTTTCTTCTCTCTATATTTAACAATTAGAAAAATACTGCTACTTCACGAAGTGCAACTTTTTCAAACCTAAGGTCTGCTCTTAATCCCAACCAGAGCTAACAACAGAAAAGAGTATAATGTTTGCATTTTTAAAATCCCACTTCAAAAGTTTTCTCATGATCAGCTTGCCATGGAAGATTAAGACAGCATTGTACTTCCTGGAATTATTTCTACAAGGCTACTTAAATATAAAAGCAATGCCCGATTATTAACTTTTCTTTCTTAAAATGAAAGATTTAGACTAAATGCCTGTGGCAATGATAGGTATCCACGGGTATTTATTGGAGAATGGTTGAGGATATGAACTTATGCATACCTTTGTACACAAACAATGCTATACTGGTGGCTGAGAACCCAGCCAAGGTAGACTATACAATGCAAGAAGGCCTAAATATATTGAAGAACACAATAGATGTGTCTGACCTGGAAAATTAAACAAGTTCAAATTATACATAAATGGCAATATGTAGAGCAAAAAGATAAATCTGTATACTTAGTAGAATGTTTTAAGCAGGAAAATAGGAGAAATTTCAAAGAACTAGCATTGGCAGAAAAATGGTTGGCAATAATCTGCAGCAAGGAATGTTTGTCCAAAAAAGTGAAAATGGCTACATGTAAGAGTATAATTGTGCCCACTTTGCTATATAGAAGGAAGAACTAGGTAAATACGTCAGAAAAAATATAAATAAATTGAATTAAAATGTATGTGTGGTAAAACAAGACAAGATAGGATCAAGAATGAATGAGTGCTGAATGAATGATCAATACAAAAGTGAATTAGCAGTGCAAAATAAATATATTGCATTGGTTTGGCCATAAAGAGAATGAAAACAGCAAAACAAATATTAAGACAGAGTGATTATAACTGATAGCAATGCAAAGGCTATCATTATGAAACTTATGAGCTACTCCAAAACAGTTTAAAGAGCAAAAGAGAATATATGTAGCACTGTATGGCCATGGTGGAAACAAGGGGTATGCAAGGACAGAAAGGTTTGGAGAAGTATATTGAAAAGTGTTAATGAAAACTAACCAATTGTGCCACCAAGGCAATTCAAAGATCAGTTTAACTTACTAGGTATAAGCATTTACCTGCATTGCTTTCATGACATGGAGGTTGGGCACATTTTTGTCTGCAAGTTCTGGATGCTTAGGCATGTGGACATCCTTCTTGGCTACCATTACACCCTCCTTAAAAAGGAGTTCATAGATTGCAATGCGATTTTTTTTAGGCATCAACATCTGTGGGAAATATAGATTTTGTTGTCAACTGCAGTCTCTCTTCCAGTTCAAAGTAGCACTAGTTGTCAAGAAACACTACACAGGTTAATACATTAGTTTATTGCTGTGCCAAAAACCTAAAAGGTAAACTATACACTTGTGTATCCCAACCACTACAAAGTTAAAGAAACTTCAAAAGACCCCTCAGGTTAGCTCATGATTGTTTGTCCACTGGCCAGTATAATCTGCTGTGACTGGAGTGGTCTCAGGAAGACCCCCACACACACACTTATCATGTCCCATGTTTTAACCGGAAGCAGATATAATTAATCTCAAATCACCAACACTGAGACATAATATTTATTTCTCAAAAATAGCAGTAACTAGAGGATGGGACGTGGATGAAAGTTTCAATGAAACTAGAAATGCTTGGCAGTTTCTATTCACATGCATCTTTTATTAAATTCTAGCATACACTTGCATAGGGATCAATTCTCTTTATAGCTGGCCTCTAGTGAAGGCTTCATCTTTATTCATAACTTTTAACCATTCTGGGGGGTGGGGGGGGGAACCCTCCATGCAAACAGGACTACACAAACTGCAGATAGGCCTACAGTACTGAAGTTATGTTCAAAAAAAAAAAAAAAAGTTGCGATGCACGGAACGAAATGTATTGCTACAGCCCCACAAACGTTCCCACGTTCTCTCTTTAGAAGACACGGCCTGGATTACTAAACTGCCCGCCTTCCAAACGGCGCATCCCAATTCCACCTTCCTTTCTCGAGCCTCGATTCTCCCCGGCCAAATCGAGTTCAATGAACATAAACAACAGAGTCCCCAAGGGCGCCAAGGAGGGGTACCGGGCAGTGCAAACGTAGGATGCGGACGATGCCCGGAGGATAGACTAATAAGAGCCAGGCCTTACCGTGGCGGCACTCTCAGGACGAAAGCTGGAAAAGAAAGAGCATGCGCAATGCGATCTCTTCCTGCCTCGGAAGGACCCTTGGAGTTAAGGAGTTGGCTACTTTACTGCCTTTCGGCAAAGCCTCTAGTACTGTAATGGTCTATCTAACAAGAGCGTCGAAATTAGCTATCCTTCAGAATCTTTTCTTTCATTTTGATTAATTGTTTAAACTCATTTTATTTTACTTTGTTTTGTTACCTAAATACTTGTAATTTATACAATGAGGGATGAATTTGCTACAGATGCGGTGCATAGCCAGCTTTACATAAATGGTACATTTTGCTGCATTACATGTTTCTCTTTCTTTGTACACTGTTGCTTTGTGCAGGACTACCCATATTTCTTACCCAATGGTAGTGAGACACATATTGTTTCTGACAATTGGAGGAAATATATAGCCATAATTGATAAATTGAGTTAACACAGTTTGATTTCCTGGGCTTAACTCAAAACATGACTGGTTTGAGAAGACCATAAACAATTTTAATAGTATTGGCTTTGGGCCTTTTCCAATGGATGAGCTCTGTGTCATGGCCCTCATCAACTGTTCTATTTAGAATAAAACCATATTATCTGCATCTGCATAATATTTCAGGTTAAAATAAGGTTGGCTAGTTTGTATTTGAGCATGTATAATAGATAACCAAGAAAAACAAAGGGTCATAGAATAAATTGTTTCAAAGTTCTCCCTTGAGACATAAATGACCAGACTCAAATAATCAAATTTTGGATACATTATGCAAAAACCTGATCCCTTGTGAAATCCATAATGCTGGGAAAGAAGAAAGGAAAGAGAAGAAGTGAACAATTTGATTGTACATAATTAATGTCATACCCATGTCCAACATGAATTTTTATCTAATACTATAAATCAGGGGTGTCAAACTCGCGGCGTCACGTGATGTATCAGGACTTTTTTCCCCTTCGCTAAACTGGTCAGGGGCAGGGCCACCACACGACACATCTGGCCCGCGGGCTGCGAATTTTAATATCTTATAGCAATATCCACAGTGGGAGAAATGGGAGGTCAGGAAATCAAGATGACAATTGTGTTAACAATAGCACTTAGACTTCTATACCATTTTACAGCCCTCTCTAAGTGGTTTACAGAATTAGCATATTGCCCCCAACAATCTGGGTCCTCATTTTACCATCTCAAAAGGATGGAAGGCTGAACTGGTGAATTCTCACCGGTTCAACCTTGAACCGGTGAGAATCGAACTGCCAAACTGCTGACAGCTGGCAGTCAGCAGAATTAGCCTACAATACTGCATTCCAACCACTATGCCACCATGGCTAATGGTGCAATTAAAGCACCACCCAGCATATCTGTATATGCTAGACAAAAGGATGGGGCTTTGATTTAATCTTTGCATTCATTGTCTTGACTTTTTTGACACACATGCGCGTGCGCACACGCACACACACTGAAAGAGGGAGAGGAAATTCCCCTCGTCTTATACAACGTTACCAGGTTTGGGCTGCAAAACCCAAGATTATATAAATTATAATCCTCACTTCTATCTATTCATATTTTGGCAACCCAGATCCAATATACCTAGCCTATCCCATAATAGAATCAGTATACAGTACAGCTGTGTACAAATCCTTTGTCATCAGAAATAGTGAAAAATCTGTTCTCCGCTCATTAGGAGCAGAGCTAGCAACAGAAGCCATCTCATTCCCAATTTAACACCAGGCCTTTTCTGTAAATCAAGACTAGCACCCCTTTCAAAAGATTACTAAACCCAAATATATAAGAATCCTGCGTAATGCCTGGTCAAGTATTATGTGAGTAGTTATGGAAACCAGATCTTAGCAGCAGTCCAAGCCAACATGATCATGGAGGACAGTACCCAGTGATTGGATGTGAGGGGTTTGCCTGCAACAGCCTAAAAACCCAGTAGCATAAGAGATCCCCAGTCCTTAATCATGTTGCCACTGACTTCCTAAATGAGGCATCATCACAGATTGTTCAGAAAGCATGGTTTATTTCAGAAAAAGATGGAAACCCAAACTTTAAAACTAGATAGCTACAACAGTACAACAGTAGAGTGGGTATGTGTGGAAGCCAATATCATGAAGATGCATCATGTAAAAACTGTGAATAATCTTCATGCCATGGTTAATTAAATTTGAAGAGGAGCCCAATGGTTGGATGAATCTACAGAAGTTAAAACCCCAAGGAGACAACCTGCACCAATAATAAGACGGTTCTCTCTGGCTTGAAGACCCAACACAAAACAGAAATAGGTAACTTAATTTGGAGAAGGAAAACGCAGAACAAACGTTCCTGAAAAAACAAGTTATGCTATTATACTAAAAGTGGAAACCCTTCCTGAAGAGAATTGATTTGGTGATTTTACCACCTTTTTTTTGTAAAGTTGTAAAGCAAATGCTGTGATTGTTAAGCATTTGGATGAATCCATTTCCCCAATAGGGAAATTTTTTTTGCTGGAAATTGGAAATGCATGTCAGAAACTGGCAAAAATGCCAAAAATCAGAATTATGTGACTGTGGAATGCTGTAAATAGCTGTAAATGCAAGCCAGCTGCCAAGTGCTCAAAATGCAGTCACTGATCGTGGATTTGTGAGGCCATTAGAACTTTGAAAACAGGTCATAAGTAGCTCTGGGGAGGTCCATTGTAACTTTCACAGGACACTAAGCAACCAGTCATTAAGCAAGGTCTACCCATATTTTTCTTTCTTCCTTCTGCAGCAAGTTTTTATAAAATATCATACATTAAGAAGACCACTGGAGGGCAGCATGCTTCCTAAAATAATATTTTAGATGCTAGCGCTTCTCACTAGGAATGGCCTGAAAATTCTTGAAAGGCAATTCTGAAACAAAATATATGATCTCTTTCAGTTACCCTACACAGTTTTGTGTCTTGCTAGTTTCACTGGGCAAAGGTGGTTGGAAGGACGGTGTGTTCTTTGAAAATGATTTGGTGGCTCCCATCTCTGATAACAACTCTAGCTTACTTTCCTGATTGACTAGGCATTCTGACTTTTGTGGGAGAGTCGTTCTGCAATATTAGATCTACTGCCTATTAGGAGCCTCAGCTCCCACATTTCCTTGCTTTCATTGCTGAAACATATGACATCTTGTGAATACCGATCACTGTATAGAGTCCTAATTAAGAACATTCTTGTTTTTTAGAAAACAAACATTCTGGATCTTTAGATTTTGATTTCAGAGTTAATAGTGAGTATTTCTGCTTACTCAAGCAGAAGTATTTCTGCTTACTCAATAGTGAGTATTGTTAATTGGCCTTCTTGCTATCTCAAGAACTACAACATAAATATTACATTGTATACTATTATTTATCACATTTCTATACTGCCTATCTCACCTAAGTGACCCTGGGTGGTTTAGAATAAAGACATCAAAAGTGGTATAAAAGCATAAATAAAAACAAAGATAAAACGGAGTTAAGAACAAGATAAAATTAAAACTAAAGTGTTGTGGGAAGCTCCACCTCCTAGAAGAATGAAATATTTTGAGGAATATTAAAAAGGTAGAATATTATATTTTCCTAAATGAGAAATGGAGAAACATGTTTTTTAGAGGCAGGAAGCAGTCCCCAAGTCTTTCTTAATAGCCCACAGCATATGCTAGCACTTAAGAGATAAAGAAGAAACCAACTATCTAGATGGCTCTATTCATAAGCAAAGCAAATACTGCAGGCAGAAATCCATTCAAGACTGGATATTTCGAAACTGCTTGCAGCAAAGTTTGACAGCTAACAAAAGCAGAATGATAGGATTAGAAGCAGCCTCTCACCCAAGATCCAACCCAAGGATGAAAGTCATTAGCCACAATAGGAATTGTCCGACAGCCTTTCAGAACACAAGCCCCTTCATTGCACCATCTCAGAGCAGTCCAAACTTCAAAGTCACAGAAAACTTGCAACTGGTAAAGCAATAAGCCAGGGGTTGATCAGATTAGCTCAGACAAACACCTAGGATTTGCATTTCTTCTTTTGCCTATAGAGCCAGCTATAACCCCTATATGACCCTCATAGGAATCTGGCAACAGCTAATAGAATATTAAAGGACATGTTCTTGCATAGGAACAGGAAGCTCAAATACAAAGCCCAAAGAAGGTATAACCTCCCCCCCCACACACACACACTCAACTCCAATTTGTCAGCTGCACCAGAACTATAAATGCTTCTGTTCATTATTAAACGATCTTCCCAATCAGCCTCCATGTTTCCAATGCCTTTCTCCCAGCTTGGAACTGAACCAGATGGATATTTCTTCCAACAGTATTACAAATTTTAAAAGGCTAACTTTTAAACTAATTTTTAACTAAAAATTCTTAGTCCAGTTTCTCTTGTATTCTTTAACCTGTTCTTCCTCTGTTTTAAATTTCAACAAAATTTATACATTTTGGCAATTACATGTTCATCATCAGTACACACAATTATAATTCACATATTATTTTACTTTGCTCCATACCATAAGTCTGTGTCCATTTTGAACCTTTTTAATAACTGTAAATGAGAAAACCACTGAAAACAATGTCCTTCTGCTATTAATTGCTCTTTTGATTTAATTTTAAATTCCCCTTGCTAGTTTTCCAATAATCCCAAAACCTCAGCCACATTGTCTTTGTCTGCTATTCTCTCTTCTATTAAATTTTTCTTGAGCTGATATCCATAAAGCTGTTTTGGGGCACAATTTGGTTTTACATCTGTCATACAGATATGACATGTCTAATGAAAATATTTTTTGAAATTCAAATTAATTTTAACTTTCTCATACCATAAATATTCATGCCAACCAAACCTCAGGTTGTGACCTCTATTTCTAAAAATTTCTTATTTCTCAGCAACATTCTTGCATCCAAGTCAAACCACAAGCAGCAAAATACAATTTCAAATCTAGTAAACTGACAGAAGGTACCTCATCCAGCATCCTTCTCATAAATCTGATCAGTGAGAGAAATAGAGCTCCTATAACTTATACTGTAATTCTGGCATATAAAATGTTTTTTTAAGCCAAAATTTTTGCTATAGCCCCATAGTTTAATGTCATATTATTAGAGATCTCA